TGCTCACCATCACTGCTCACCATCACTGCTCATCATCGTTTGGGCTGTGCCCCTATAAGGTGGTCTGAGAAGCTGTAAATCTCTTTCTGGGAGAAAAGTCTTCCTTCTGGCTACTCCATCTCTCCAGTATGATTCCTGAGAGGAATTCTAATTCCTTGAAGTCCATTGTTTTAATAGTCTAAACAGTTAAAATGAGGGACACATGAGTCTCTTTGGGGTATCTTCATTCCTTCCAGGCTAGTTACATCTCTGTTTTGGCATTTAAATCTTGAGGTGGATGGAAAATATTTATGTCTGGATAAACAGAATACACTCAGTGTCAACCATTGGTATGAGTTTTTAGTAACCACTTAGGTTTTAGTGACTGTTGGAAGGCTGGAACAAGGTATTCCATTTTGCTGGTTTAAGATAGGGTCTTGCCATGAAGACTAGGTGGGCCTCAAATTTGAGATCTTCCGTCTTCAGCTTCCCAAGTGAGGGGATTCCAGGCAAATTCTACCAAGTTTAGTGGGACGTCATTTTAATCCTGACCCCTCCCATCCTGCCCCGCTTTTCTTTAAGCAATATTTTCTGAAGATGTGGCTGATTAACCATCTAGTGGTTGTTCTCTGCTGTGTTTGCTAAAGAGAGTCATCACACAGACAAAAAGCCAGGGAAAGGTCAGTGAACACTGATGGATGGAAGGGCATCATTTCAGTAGAGTGTTTCTAAAAGGCTTTGTGTCTTAAATGACTTATGTAATACATACATAAAAAAGTCAGCTAGCATTATTGCACTGAAGAACACAAGTTTGTGTGTGTGTGTGTGTGTGTGTGTGTGTGTGTGTGTGTGTGTGTGAATTAACTCAGCTTTCCTATTGAAGTACAGTTTAGGGTCTTTGACTTAGTAGGGTAAAAAGGCCAGAGAATTGGCAAAACCCAAAATTTTAGATTTCTTACAAGTCTAGGGAACAGTTGTTAGTTATTGTTAGGGTTGGAGAATCACTGAAGAAAGACCCCAGACTCAAGCAGTATGCAAAAGCAAGGTGTGTTTGTTCTGCAGAAAATTTCCAGCATGCCAGGGCCATCGTTCTATACAATGGGACCATGAAGTCAGCACACAGGCTCAGTTTAAAGGCAATTAGGGAGATTTCCAGAAGGAATGAGGTTAGTAGTAGACTCAGGAGGTGAGGTTTAGGATTGGCTAAACATTTACAACTTACTATGGGCTTTCCAGAGTTTGCTAAGGACTTTTCGTCAGGCTTGCCGAATCATCATACTTAGCTCAAGTCCGTATGTTAACCTTTAAGCTGATTGGCTGCCTGCTAACTACGGTATTCCAGAAACTGTTTTCCTATGTTCTGAAAAATAGAAACTCAGGCCTAGTTAGGCAGAGTTGAAAATGAAGCCTGTCATGGAGTCAGATTAGCCAAACAGATTGGGGTCTTCTGGGGGGGGGGGTCTCTCGGGGGCTTGGAGTTATTTAGACTTCTCATTATTACAAACATTATGTGCAAATGTATCTCACAGATAATAGAAAAATACTAATTTTGCCAGGGCCCACAGATTAAGTCTCAAGTAGCAAGATTGCTCAGATGGCAGGTTACTGTCTGTAAGACACTAAAGCCAGAGTTATGCCACATGTGCAACTGAGACCGTTTTACAGAGGGTGGGCTGGATCTCCAGAGGCCCAGAAGCATCATCATGAGCAGGTGTCAGTAGCTAAGGGAACTAAAGGAAAAAAAAAATGGTAGAATGGTCCAACACAGCGTGGAAAGGTTCCATTGTTTTTTGAAAAGAACAAAGTCATGTGAAACTATGTGAATGGGAATGTACTGGATAATTTTATGTCAGCTTGACACAAGCTAGAGTCATCAGACGAGGGAGCCTCAACTGAGAAAATGCCTCCTTAAGATCTGGCTGTAGGGGCTGGAGAGAAAGCTCAGTGGTTAAGAGTACTACTGTCTGCTCTTCCAGAGGTCTTGAGTTCAATTCCCAGCAACAACATGGTGACTTGAAACCATCTATACTGGGATCTGATGCCCTCTTCCAGCATGCAGGTGTACATGCAGACAGATCACTCCTATGCATAAAATAAATAAATAAATCTTAAAAAAAAAAGAAAAAGAAAAAATCTGGCTATGAGCAAGCCTGTAGGACATTTTTTAAATGTTTAAATGTTTAAATTTTAAAATTTTTTAAATTGATGGGGTAGGGCCCAGTTGATTATGGGTGGTGCTGGTGATCCTGGGTTTTATAAGAAATCAGGCTGAGCAAGCCATATGCAACAAGCCTGTGAGGAATCTTAGGACATGGCTGCTCTGGCAAGAAATCACATCCAAAGACCTACTAGATCTGTGTGATTGGGTTGGAATACAAACACTCTTTAATCCAGGAGACAGAAGCAAACAGATCTGAGTTCAAGGCCAGCCTGGTATAGAGCAAGTTTCAGGTAAAGAAAAGCTTAGGTTTAGGCATGATAATACACACCTTTAATCTCAAACAATAAAGGTAAAGTTAGTTTATAGAAGGAAGCATCCAAGTTTGAAAATGATGTTTAATTGAGTGGCAGAAAAAGTAATGAATCAGAAAAGTAATGACAGAACAGGATACACCCAACTCTAATGAGAAGAGAGAGGAAAGGGAAGCAACAGAGAGAATGAGAGGGAGGGGACAGTTTTACAGAGAGAGATTGAATAAGAGCAAGCTAGACACAGGTGAAGATAGAATGAACAGAGAATGAGAAGGAGCCAGAAGCTTATAAAAGATTGCTAGAGTTAGCTTGAGGCCAAGCAGAGCAATTCAGAGGATGGGAGAAAAGCCAGATTGAATAACCAGATTGAATAAGTCAGCTGGGAGAGGAGGTTGAGAACAGCCAAGTTAAACCAGCCAGCTATGAGCTCAGTAAGAAGAAAGGGTGAGCTTATTATGCAGTAATTCTTAGAGGCTGAAAACATTCTAGGCCTAGGCTAGATGATATGGAGGCTAGAAGCTTCTGGGACTAGACCTGGGTTAGTAGACAAGGGCAGTAAGCCTCCAAGAATAGACAAATAAAAGTTCCTTTTACACAAGCCAGTTAATAGCACCTCTCCATGGCCTCTGCATAAGCTCCTGTCTCTAGGTTACTGTCCTGTTTGAGTTCATGTCCTAACTTCCTGTGATGATGAACAGCAGTATGGAAGTGTAAGCTAAATTAACCCTTTCCCTCTCAACTTGTTTTTTGGTCACGGTGTTTCAGCAAAGCAATCAAAATCCTAACTAAGACAGTGGGGAATAAAAATAAAAGATAAAAATGTTCAGAGATGGAGGCCTTGATTTGTATCCTTGACCAATAGCCAAAGATGTCCTTTGTTTTGTCTTGGCTGAAGGCCCTTGTTCCTGGTTTAGTTCCTAAGTAATTTTAGGGTTTTACTTTTTGAAGTCTGGAAACAGGGATTAACAATGTTGGGGGCCATTGAGAAAGGGTCTCATCTCCTGTAAACCCCAATAACAGCAGAAAGGAAAATGTCAGCTTTGCCACTCACTCCTTAGGATTTAAATTACCATGTTAAAAAAGTGATGCTATCTAGGCTTTGTTGAGGCCCATTAAGGCAAAGCTACTTTCTTCTGCTTAAAAGGATCAGCTCCTCTGGGGTGCATGGGGCGGGCTTGGGGTAACCTGAATCTGTGCCCCTGGCCTTAGTCACTCATATTTGAAAGTCCCTGGAGAGCTGTGACTACAACACATGGTCGACCGACTAGAACTTCAATGACTGTGGAGAGGTTGGAGTTAATACAAGGCTGACTAAGAAGAGAAAAACCACACCGTTTATTACCTTTACATGCATGTGAGAATGTTCACAAGAAAGCGAAGCATGAAGAAATGCCTCAAGGAATGATGGCTTTAGACTTTTTACACAAAATACGGTAGCCTATAAAGCCTGATGGGAGTCTCTGGACTATGGGCAGTAAATTCTGGAGCTGTCAATAGAAGATATCGAGGAGCCCATAAAAGCAGGTGGAAAAGAAGGTAGTATTAAGCTCAGGACAGCCCAGGTGCCGGTGTCTTGTGACAAGGCCATCTGGTCTTGTGTGGGGAAAACATTCTTCTCCATGGAAACTTCATGGCTTGCTGCACGTAGGAAAAGACTGGCCGAATGGCCCCTTCTAAAGGTGTCAGGGAGGGCCAAGCTTTTGGACCTTGTGCCATGATGTTATTATCTGCAGTTTGCCATGGAGAACCAAACAGTGGATTAGAAAGAAAAAAAAAAAGTCCCTCCCAAGGAAATCTCATGTTTTAAGTAAGTTTATGGTTCTGTGTCAGGCTGCAATCAGAGTGGTCCTGAGGTGGTATGCTTGGGTAGACACCTGTGAGTAGTTTCTCCACGGATTCCAAATGATCAGTATGCTGTGGCGGTGCACTTTGAGATGGCCCTTGCTTTTGTAGGATGTAGAGGCCAACAATTTAGCTGGGGCCTCTTTTTGAAAGAGCTGGGTGGCTTCTGAGGAAAGCTTATTCCTGGTCATCTGGGCAGCGAGCAGAGAGGTGGGACTTGCCAGGCTGGCTGTCACGATGGAAAGTCATGGTAGAGAGAGAGATGGACACAGAGAACCTTCCAGATTGCTTGAAGGACCCCCCTGGGTGCCAGCAGAGGGCTCTACGAAGGGCAGCAAGATCACTTAAAAGGGAAACAGAGCTGCCTGGGCAGCTTTGTTAAGGAGGCGCAGTGGCAAAGGTAGCAACAGGGATGAAGCCTGGGCAGTAATCCAGGGAAAGGCAGGCACCTTCCCAGGCAACACACATCATGCTTTCCAGCACCAGGGAACTGGATGATGAGTTCCAGTTCGCAAACTGGAATCACATGGCAACATCAGGGGATGTGCGGAAGAGGATGCAGGCCCGGAAGCAAGGACCCTGCCCCAACAGGTTTCTGTTGGAAAAGAGGGTGTTAACTTTTTAGCTCTAGCTCACAAGGGTTTCTGGACAGGCAGGCAAGGCTGGCCTATTGTGTCAATTGGGAAATGTAAGTAACAGACTTACAGTGGCTTTAACAAACAGGAATTTATTTTTATTTACAAGGATTTCGGAGACAGAGATCTGTTGGCACTTGCTTGGTCAAATGATCACAGAATTTATGGATCTTTTGACCTTTTCCTCAGGTGAAACTTGGAGTCTGACGGTCCAGGCATCACATCCTCAATCAAGCAGGAAGAAGGGAGAGGCCGTGGGAGGCTCTTAGAAAAGGCATGAGCTTTTCCAGTAACTCCTGTAGACTTCCATTTCAATTTCATTGGCCATAACTGGTTACATGGTCACCCAAACCTGTAGAGGAGGCTGGGGGAGTGAGAATCTATGTCTATAGTTTCTAGAGGAAGGAGGTGAGAGGGATGGAATTGGAATGAACAGATTCACAGAGCCCAACGTATCTGCCACGGTTCCCCCGGATGACCTGCCTTGAGATCCCCTGTGCTTTTGGGGTGTCATCTCAACGACTTGCCATTTCCTCTGGCAACTGCTAAGACCCTTGGGTGGTCCTGCTCTATCCTAGATGCCCTGTCCTGCCCCTCTTCACATGTCAGAGCAGAACATGTACCTGTAGGGTCACAGCCCCCAACCCTGTCTTTATTTCGGAAACACATCTTCGGCATAACACCTCACCAGCAGATACCTAAGACCACGGCACTGAATTTAAACCACCAGTTCTCAACCTGTGGGTCATGACTCTTTCACAGTGGTCGCATATCAGATGTCCTGCATAACATATATTTACATTACAGATTCATAATGGTAGTGAAATTACAGTTATGAAGAAGCAATGAAAATAGTTCATGGTTGGGGGTCACCACAACATGAGCTATATTAAAGGGTCGCAGCATTGGGAAGGTTGAGAACCAGTGATTTAGACCTTTCAAGCTGGAAAACCCACCCTCCCACACTAGCGCACATGCACACACACACTGAGAGAATGTCTATTTACACCTCTCTGCTGGCACCACCCATAAGAAAGAGACAGAATCTCCATTCACTGGCAGGCCCTGCTGCCACTGCCACCATCATTTCCTAGAGCCACAGCAAGTGGCACCCCAGCAGGGAAATCTGGGATTGGGGAGTGAAAATCTGTGCTTCTCTAGCAGTGCTGTTCCCAGCAGGGAGTGTTAGACACGCAGCTTCCAGGCTCTGTTCACAGGACTCTCTGATTTGTACGTACAGTAAATTTGGCAATGTGCTTATCTAAATTGGAATACAGAGCACTGAGGTGAGGTGTGGTTGGCGATCTAGGGAGGACAGTACAAAGGAGAAAGAAACCTCAAAGTATGAGGCAAGCTGGCAAGGCCTGAAGCTGCCTTGTTTGGGACCCTTCCCACCTGGCCACAGCCAGCTGTGGCCTCCCATGCCCTTCCTTGCTACAGATAGTTGGTGCCTTCGTTGCTCTGTGATTTCCCGAACAGCCATCCTTGGCCTCAGGTAAAGCCAGAGCTGAGCTGTTCCTAGCACTAGGAGCTGGGCTACTCTAAGAAGCAGGGCCTTGTTGGGAAGCTGAGGCAGAATGGAGGGACACCTGGTCCTCCTCATCACTCCGGCTAGGGAAACCTTGTCAGTGAGTCAGATGGGGGGGGTGGGGGTGGGGCAGGCGCCTTGGGAGGTCTTTCCTGGCAGTGGTTGGAAGGCTAAGAGCTCAGAAGAAAAAGTCCATAGACTTGCCTGTGGGGTGCGGGGGTCCTCAGCTTCCCAGGGATACCCAGCCTGTCAGGTCTGCCTTGTTGGCATTACTGTGGGCAAGGGCCCTCAGGTTCATTGGGGCTGGAGGAGGTCTGGGCCAGAGTGAGTGTCAGGAGCAGGGGGTGGGATGGCGTAAGAGACTCTACAGTGCTCTCTCTTCACTAGTCAGCGTGGTAATTCTGCGAAGGTTCTCTCGAACTTTGATGAACTCAGGGGCGTGGTCCTGTTCTCTCTGAGGTGGGTTTTCCAGCTGGAGGAGAGAAACACATGGGGTGAATTTGGCAGGGCTGGTTTTGGGGTGGGGTGGGGGACTTGCTATTCTCAAAATCTATGGTATTGGACCAAGGATCCTGTCAATGGGAAAGCAGAAGCACCCTGGGTTGGGTTTCAAAAATTACCCCGAAGTGGGGGTGTATATCAGGAGAGTAGACTCTCAAAAGAGAGTCATCAAGATTAACATGGAAAAAAAATCTACCCTCACCTCAGGCTACATTATCAAAACAGTATGCATGAGGAAATTCCACCGTCTCCAAATACGGCTGAGGGAGTGCTGTGCAAATGACCGGTCAAGGGTATGGCCACTTACAGCCTGGGGTTTTGAGCCTTGGACCTGTTCTAGCTTTCTAGGTCACGTCCAGTCCCGAGAATGCCTTCCTCTTCCTTAAAGAACCTCCTCTCTGCCACTATCCATGTCCCCGGCCAGTCCTCTCAGGAAGCAAGAGCTGGAAATCTAAGTGGGTACCCTCTGTACCCACACGGGGGCAGTAAGAGACGAGTTCTCCTTGGGAAGCCTGGTTCAAATCATTTCTTCCTCTGGCCCCAGGCCCCCCACGTCTGAAATGGAAATGCCACCTGCTTTGAGGGCAGTGATGACCTGCAAGATATGGATCAGGAAGCGAAGCCCCTGCACTAGAGTCACACAGCAGGCCAGAGGTGGATTCCTGGCCGCCATGCTGGCCTCCCCTTGGGGCTTCGGGGGAGGCTGGGGCTGGGGCTGGGAACCTCCGACCCACCTGGTTCAGTCTCTGCTGCCGCCTCAGCAGCTCCTGCTTGAAGGGGCACTGGAGCCGCTTGGCCTCCAGCTCCTCCTCCTTCTTTTTAATCAGCTGGTTCCGGCGCCGGTGCTCCAGGACCCGCTGAAGCTCAGGCTTGCTGTCCACGCCCAGGCCCCTGTGGGAGAGGGGAGATGTCAGGAGGCTCCCACCTTCCCAGCGTGGGCCTGCAGTTTGCTTCCACACCGATCCCACCGTTATCTCCGGCAGTGCTTGGGCAACACCGGAAGGGGGTGCTCTCACTGTCGCTCGCTATGGAGAAGGGCAAAGAGCCGCCGCCTCCCAGACAGCAAGGCGGACTGCAGTTAAACAGGTGAGTGAGAATTTCAGCCCAGGCGGCATGTGGCTGCTTGGTGTTTTACTAGAGCTTCTGAAGACAGAAACGCTGGACTGGTCTCTCTTAAAACCCTACGGGAATTAATTTTCTTGCAAGGACATTTGTTTATCCCCATTTCCCAAGCCGATTTCTTTTTTAAGTCTAGGAGACAAGAAACACGACTGTTTTTTCATGTTTTTCTTGATTATCAGTCACATGCAACGGCCTTTAAAATGTTTCCAGCATTCGTGTTTCTCCTTTTGCAAGTTAATTCTGCTTATTTTGTTTACCATATACTTGTAGACTAAAATACATGAATATGCTAATGTTTTATACTGTGTATGTATGTAATTATCAATGTGATTTATTTATATCGCAAACATTTCAGTTTTCTGGAAGCTGTTTTTCACTGTGATGGTGTTTTTGATATGAAAATTAACGAATTTACAAAACAACTGAGAATATGATAATACTATAATATTAAGTGAACATAAACCCACAAACAGCCCAGTGTGTAAGGGTTATCTGCTCCAGGTAGTCTTAGAATGAAATTCACAACCAGTGCCAATACAACAACGAGCCGGCAGAGGGCGCCACGAAGGTACCACCAACTTTGGTCTGGGCAGGGTGGTCAGGGTCCTCATACTGGATCCTTGTCCTCCGTTGCCTACACTTGACATCCTGTGATTGCTGATGGAAGCCGTGCCATCCCCCAGCTTTCCCCTTGACTCTTCTGTTTTACTGCCAGTTTCTGCCCTAATAAAGGGACGAACAACCTGGTATCGTCTCTGTAACATCTGTCCATTCTCCAGTTCTCTGCCGACACAATCCATCTCCCACCAGGGCTGACTCCCATCCCTGCGTTAGGCCTTCCAGGTATCATCTCTTCCATGAAGTCATTTAGACAGCCCCCCCCAGCTTAGTACCTCTTCTGGGGTCCCACACTCATTTAAAGCCCCCATCAAGGCACGCGCTGGCATTCTTTCACTCTGCTTGGGAAGGGCAGGAACGGGGCATCCCTTTTTGTGTCCTAGGTGTGGGCAAGGTGCCCAGCACACAACAGGTGCTTAGTAAATGTATGTGGCATCTAAGTGTGCAGAAAGTGGCTGGGGGAGAGAATGGGGCTTTCAGGTTCAACAAAGCTTCTTCTGGGGAGCCTGTGGGGGCTCCAGGCAATGGCCAGCCCAGCCCCCCCACCAAGGAGCATTTCTCCAAGTTCAGCGGGGGTGCAGGATATTGCTGGGCCAGGCAGCTGGGTGCCGTCCTACCTTCTGTGGTTCATGAGCAGCTCCCGGTGCAGCTCCTGGTGGCTTCGGGAGGCCTTCACGGGGTTCAGCAGCTTCTTGGGTTTGATGAGCTCTGGATTCCACTCTCTGTACTCTGGCCGGGCCATGAGTCCTGCAATGTCCGCCCGCTCCCTCTGGATCTCCGAGTACATTGAGGCTGTAGTGATGGGCAGTGAAGTTACTTCAAGGATGTCCGAAGTCCTACCCACCCCTTGGGGCACAGCTTAACGGGGTGGGGGGGGAATCTCACACAGACCTTGGCTTCTGAGCAACTTGGGTAAGCTACCTCACCACCTGAGTCATTCCACCCAGGTCAAAAGCTTGTTGTGAGGATTGGAGATGACGTTCATCAAGGCTGTGGGGTGCAGAAGTAAAATGACACCGAGGTCCAAACTCTCGCACACAGTCAGAGGACTGGGGAGATGGTTCATTAGGAAAAGTGTTCGAAGTGTAAGTGCGAGGAGCTGAGTTAGCATCCCAGCACCCAGGGAAAAGACTCTAGGTGAGGTAGAGACAGGTGGGTCCCTGGCGCTCACTGGCCTGCCTATTTATCCTAACCAGTGAAGTCCATGTGCCCAGTGAGAGATCCTGCCTCAGGGTGCAGGGTAGACAGTGCTTGGGGAATGGCATCCAAGGATGACCTTTGGCCTCCACACGTGTGCACACGTGGGGACCTGCACACACACCAAAGTGTATATATATGGGTTGTCACTGGCTGTGCTAGATAGTTTTATGTCAACCTGACACAAGCTAGAGTCACCTGAGAGGGAGGAACCTTAACTGAGAAAATGCCCTCATAAGATTGCATTGTAGGCAAGCCTGTAGGGCATGGGGCTGGTGGCCCTGGTGCTATAACAAAGCAGGCTGAGCAAGCCCTGAGGAGCAAGTCAGTAAACGGCACCCCTCCTTGGTGTCTGCATCAGCTCCTGTCTCCAGGTTCCAGCCCTGTTTGAGTTCCTGTCCTGATTTCCTTAGATGGTGAGAAAGGGTGATGTGAAAGTGTCAGGTAAATAAACCTTTTCCTTCCCAAGCTGATATCGGTCAGAGTGTTTCATTACATAAATAGCAATTCTGACTGAGACAAGAAACTGACAGGAGAAAAAAAAAATTCCCTACGCAAAAAGGATTATGTTTGAGTTTCCACTTTTCAACAAACTTGTACCAGAAAAGGGAAAGGTGTAAAGTGTGTGTGTGTGTTTGTAGATCTGTAGCTGCTAAAGACAATTTAGATTATTGCTGTAACAAAAAGAAAACATCACCCATCATTGTCCCTTAGCCATAGTCCCCAAGTCTCTGGTAGAGATGTGATTTTCCTACTCTCCACACCAGAAAGTAGAATGTGATATTCAGGGGCTGCTGTTGTCTTGTCTGTCATGCTCATGCGTGACTGCTCTTGGTCTCACGTCTACCATAGTAGCTGGAAATTTGTCAGGGTACTTCAGATTCAGGCAGAAAATCTCCTCTGCCACAGACAGCTCCTGATTCTTAAAATGCTTTAGAGGAAGGGGAGAGGGCAGGTGAGGAGAGGAGAGGAGAAGGAGAGTAGATGTGAGGAGTTTTTTAGAAGTCACAAGGAGACAACACTACCTGCCTGTTAGCGGTAATTACAGTGAAAATTAAGAGCAAGTTCTCCCTCCCTCCTCAGTTCAGCTTTCAGAAAAACATTCTTACCCCTTTTCTGAGACAGGTCTTTCTGGGAAGCCTTGGCTGACCGTGTAGCTTCCTGCCTTTACCTCCCCCCCACCTCTGAGGGACTAGCAGCACCAGCTAGCAGGTATCAGCTCACCTGGCCGGTGGGGTTGAGCCCTTTCTGTGTGGTGGGCATAGGCAGTGTCAAGTCTAATATACAGTGGGTCCTCAATAATGTTTGTTAGTAATTTCTGTTAGGGAATTTGTGATAAAACTTTTAAGGTTTTGGTCTTGGAGAACCAGAGCCCTAAGTTGCTTTCCATGTGTCAGTGGAGGTAGCACGTCCCCGCCTCACACACTGAAGTTCCACATATTCTCTCCCTGTCTGTCTGTCTGACTAGGTTGGCCTTGAACTACTTCTCTGTGTAGCCTTGGTTATCCTGGACTTGACTTACAGACCAGGCTGGCCTTGAACTAACAGAGATCTGCCTGTCTCTGCCTCCCTAAGTGTTGGGACTACAGGTGTGTGCCACCCCTCCCACGTGGCCTTGAACTTCTTATGTAATTGAAGATAACCTTGAATCTGTAGTTCTTTTGCCTCCAGCTCCAACCCCAGAAATGGAAAAGTAAGTGTAAGGAGTGTTGAAACATATCTGTTTTTTCAATTGAAAATACTCTCCATACAATATATTTTGATCACAGTTTCCCTTCCCCATCTCCTCCCCACATCCCCATCTATTAAGCTCATTATTTGTCTCTCTAAAACAAAAAAGGGCAAATTAAAAACAAACAAAACCCCAACCAAATCAGAATAACAACAAAGAAAAAGCACAAGGAACACACACACTCACAGACATGTATACACACATATTCGCAGACATACACACACACACACACACTCACTCACTCACAGACATGTATATACACATATACTCACAGACATGCACACACACACACTCACAGACATAGACTCACACAAAACAAACCTATAAGAACACAAAATCAGAAAACACAATATATAAGTAAAAGACCAGTAAGATTTAAAAAAAATGTGCAAACAAAGCAATTAATGTGAAACAAAAAGTCTGCATAAATACTAATTTTAGTATGTTCAGTTTTCTGTTGGCCTTCGACTGCTGGGCATGGGGCCTCCTTTAAGTGTGGTTCATATCATATACCCAGTGAGACTCCGCTGGGGAATACGAGTTTTTCCTTTGCAAGCAGTTGTCAGTTGGAGATGGCACTTTGCAAGATACAAGCTGGGGGCTTGTATCTACTTCTTCTCTCAGCACTGGGAACCCTGTCTAGCTTGGTCCTGCACATGCCCCGTGTATTCTGGCATCTGCTTTCCATTGAATTAGCATTCTCAGGAACATTTCTGAAATGAGAATTTTAATAATTTCCTTTTTCTCTATCTTTCTCATAAGATGGTTTGTTTTCAGAATATATCCTAAGTTTTGGTTCTTATGAAAATGATCACGATGTGCCCAGCTATTTAGTTGCTTTTGAGATAAGGACTTATGTAGTCCAGGCTGGCCTTAAAATTGTTCTGTAACCAAGAATGACCTTGAACTTGTTATCCACCAGTGGAGGCCTGCGCCACTGTGCCTGGTTTTAATCAGTGCTTGGACTCAAACCCAGAGCTTTGTGCATCCCAGACAAGCACTCTACTGACTGAGCCACATCCCCAGACCTCTAGCAAATGGGAACTTTAGAAAATTACCATCTCCCTCTGTGCCCACCAAGGGGTATCACTTTTTAGTGGATGGGGTTACATCTTCTGGTAGCCAATGTATCCGAATGTCTTGATTCAAATTGGATCTATAAGATCCCTGTTTGGTATCTACTCTATAACTGAGTTCTCTAACCTTCATGCCCTCAGCATCCATCCTGTCTAGGCTGCCATCACACCACACTTCCATATCTCCCTTGACAGCCTGGCTATTTGCTCTGCCTCCCACTCTTTCTGTGCCCCAAGCCTCCCAGCACAGAGTGTTTCCCATCAGCCACACTTTCTTTAGAAGAACTAGCAGTATGTTGCTGACATGGTAAGACGGTGAATAAAAATGAGTTACATAACCTTTGGAAAGTGATGTAAAGATAATATTTAGAATATAGTATGATAATTACTTAATAATCATATTAAAAAAAGACATACCTATATACCTGGCAAAACAACAGGAGAGAGATTCTGTATGGCCAGAATAAACACACAGAATTAAGAGCCGCTGCACAACAGGAGTGCCCACTGAGAAAGTGTATAATAATATACATCACACATTTTGCAGATGCTTGCATTCCCTCCTTTGCAAAGTATTGTGGTAGCACTAGGTACATAGAGGGAGACTGAGCAAGTCGGGGGCCCTGCTCTGAAGATTACAAACGGGCTCAGACAGAACTGTCTAAAGGACCATACTCGGCCAGGTGCTGGGGCGGGCCTCTCTGGGGAGTGGGGTTGCTATCTGAGCACTGAGAGTGAAGGGGTGGCTGCTTTAGGCCTGGGAACAGCTGTCTGGCTCCTGCACCTTGAACAAGCTGGGTCTGTTCTGGGAACACAAAGGAACAGTGTGCCCAGAGCGGCAGGATCTGGTGGTAGGGTTGACGGTTGGCTTCAGGTCCGGGAAAGGGCGAGGCAGATTGGATTTCTAAAAGGTCAAGCTGACTGCCATGTAGGGGAAATGGTCAGCAGTCTTTAGGAATTTTTATTTCCTTCCCTTCCAGTGTACTGCTTCTGTTTGCCTGTTAGTCACCCATTACATTCCTCAGATTGGCTGAACACCTTCAGCCCCAGGCCACCCCCTCAGGTTTCCAGGGGCACTCTGGGAAGACAAGTCTAGTTTAGTGTTCTGTTGTCACTGTCTTGAAATATCTCGTACACATTGGGGAGGAGCTCTTCCTTTTGTCCTGGGCATTTCACGTGGCATCACCTTGCATACCAGATCCATCAGTGGCCAGTGGAAGCTGCTACCTTTGGCTTTTTGAGTGCTGAACTCTAGTAGGTATGTGTGTGTGTGTGTGTGTGTGTGTGTGTGTGTGTGTGTATGTGTATGCCCGCAGAATGCAGAGAAAAAGGCCCATGGGAGTCCTTAGGGTTTAAGAACTGCAAAGTGAGACTTGTAGCTTTTGAATATGATAGATGGGGCTTCTGTGTGGAAGAACCATGTGTAGATCTCATCATAAAAGACACTTCAACAGAGGATTTGGAGCTGTGTGGTCACAACCTGCCTCACGGCAGGCAGAAGCCCTGGTTGGCGATAGGAGCCCTCTACGCTTGGCACCTGACAAGGCACTGCATACCTTCAAAGCAGAAGAAAAATCTGGATTATCCTAGAGGTCAGGTGGGGCTCCTGAGGTAGAAATCTGGGGTCACTCCCAAAGCTGCTGGGGTTCTGAGCAATCTAACACCACTCGAGATGTGGCCATGAGGATGAGGCAACAAAGTGGACACCGGAAAAGCCAGCTCTGAAAGGAAACAAGCTGGCAGGCGAAAGGAAGGGCTGATGAAAGAGGCGTTACGTGGCTTATCTT